TATCCTAGCCTGATGAGTGCTGTACTTGAATTTGGATTCGAATCACCTGGGTAACAGAGTATATTTTTTAAGTTTATTTAACAAAAACAAAATTACATCTCTAGGTGGTTGCTAATCTACATCGGCAAGAAGCGAGGCCTACACGGAAGAACACTGACCATGGCGTGTATACCTGACCCCTTTCTGAATGTTTCCCGAGAGCTTCCAAGCTTTTCGAATTTTGAAGACGTTGAGGGAAGGCCCTACAGTATGCTCCATACATACTGACCCGTTTGAGTAACGAGAGCAACACGATCCTTTCTCCAGTTCATTTTCCACCGTCCTGCCCATCTTTAGCCTATTCACGGACGCTCTGTCTTGCTAAAACACAATAATAGTCGATTATCTGCAAAATACTCCTTCGACCGCCACGTCAATTAAAATGTTGAAGGATAACTTTCCTGCCAAATTTCGCGTAGACCAACGATCACTCTTATTAATTACAGTAACCTTCCTACCATGTTACACCATCGAGCGCCTCTAGCCGTTCATCTAGGCCTGATGAGTTACTGACTGAGTTTTATATTTCAAGTACGGCTTGCTCTTGTTACCGCAAATTGTGGCCACTCTGTAAACACAGCATACAAGTATATGTAGATGTAGTTGATAATTATGAAGGTATGGCTTGCCCCTAACTACATGATTCCACCTAAGATTTGACTCCGAATGTTACAGTGTGACGAATAAAGATGCCTTTAATAAGCTGGAAATATTTTAGCGTGACATGATTCCCATGGAATGCGTTATCAGTTCGAGATGGATCACACATGCGGCCGAATTGTCAATGTATTCGGACTTTTATCATGAAAAAGGACCATTTCATGTTTAGATCAATGTTTTCGCATCGAGAAGCCTAATTCTAGACGATCGGATAGATGAGAACGTTAGATACTGATGCCCTGACCTCTCTGGCAACTGTTAAAGTATCGATTCAATTATAAAAAGGGTTGTACTGCGAGAACAGGTACTTTAAATGAACATCATGGTTTAAAGCGAGGAATTACGATAAAGCGGATACAATCATGGAGCTACATGTACAAGAAAAAGCAGTAGTTAGGGCCGAAAAAAGGACGCAAGGTGTGGAGTTTTCGTGACTAAAGGCGCGACAGTTTAGTGCACTGGGCCCGTCAATCCTTTCTGGGCTCCGCCTCGGCCGCCTGTGCTCCGCCCATCAGTGTGTTGCAAGCAGCATCACTTCTGATTTTTTGGATAAGATGTTCCACTTCGAGCGCATATACTACAACTTTCTCATGGAATGCGTAATCAATCAAGGTATGATCTTTGGTGGTATGATGGTAGCTATGGTTTAACGAGTGCCGACGACCTCTTAGTTGGTTGCTAACTCGTCCATTATGTGAAGCCATCGGGCAAGGAAGGGAGTCCCATTTCGCGCGTAGTCGACGGTTTTCTTCGGTTTCCGCCACTGAGAAAATATTAAGCATTCTCACCACCATGAATCCACCCAATCTTAGCGCAGTTTCAACTTCAGTTCGCTTCAATGATTGAACCATTATCATCATAGTTATAGGGTAAAAAGGCCCATGAAATTGTAATAAATGGCTCTTTACTATTTGTTTCTACCGTGACCTTACGCGATTTAGAGCCATTGAACTTCTTTCATTATTTTCTAAAAAAGCTTCTTGTCAATTAGCTCACTGACTCCCAAAACATGTAGGGGGAATATATAGAAGCTCTACCCTGTATAACGGGAAGAAACAAACGTGAAGGAGGTTTTTGCTGTCAGAATTCCCGAAATGATTAGGCTAAGCTGCTGCAGCTTGCGGATTTGTTAGAGCACTGTTCTAAGTTCCATCACCGGTAAATACGGTGCATGGTCAATTGAGGGAAATGTGCGAAACCCACAGGATTGCAGCCATCTCTGATCGTGCTTGGAGCTGAGACAGGCACAGAGCATGTAAGATAAAAACTCCATGTTTTTATCCTTATGACTCTTTGGAGATGTCTTGGTGTTGCC